TGGTTTTGGGCTCCAGTTGGGTTTTTTTTTAAAAAATTTCTTTTTTCTTTTTTTTTTTTTTTTTATTTTATCTCTAGCTCAGACTTGACAGGCTAAATTTGACCTCCGCCATTCGCAGGCCAGGAAGTGGCTGCACGAGGAGACGGCAAAGCGAAACCACCCACCTCCAGCGGCCACGTGAGCCCGCCCTGGGAAGGGCGAGGGGCCTGGAGACCCCACATCCCCCCTGCCTGGGGGGTGCCCGCACCCCCTCAGAGCCTGGCACGGGGTTGTGACCCCACCGTGCCCCCCCCTCCGCTGCCACACGGCCCCGACTCTCACTCCTCCGCTGTCCCCCAGCCCCAGTCACCCCAAAACCCCTCTGGGATCCCCCCCCAGTGCCTCTGGGGCAGAGCCACGGGGGGCATCAAGGCACTCCTAATGGGTGCCCCAGTTTGGGGGCAGACCCGGCCTGGCGCTGTCCCCGCTGTCCCCAAGCCAAGGCCACGGGGCAAGAGCCAAGCTGGGAAGCCAACAGGGCCGGGAACCCAGTGCTGGGGACAGCCAGCACCCCGGGAACCCCAACCAGCCCATCCATCCCCAGGGCTGCACCCGGGGGGGCAGTTGGGGACCAGCCAACCCTTCACTGCCCCGGTGCCCCCCGGGCCGGTCCCGCTTCCCCCCGGTCTCGAGCACGTTGCCATTTTACCATCTCGCCGGGCTGCTAAATTTAGCTGATCAAGACTAATTTTAATTTATGGAAGGAAATGGCGCTGCCGTTCCCACGGCCCCGCTGCCACCCTGTGTCCCGGGGCCCACGCAGGGCACCGGGGGCGCGGGGGGTGCCCGGACCACCCCGGCCCCGCCGCAAAGAGCCGGCGGTTCCCGGCGGGAATGGAGGAGGTTTTCCCGGCCAGCTCCCACTCTCCCGGCCCTGACACCTGTGGCACCACACCGAGGGTGCTCCCAGTAAATCCCGGGGCCATCCCGAGGGGTCAGCTCTGGCTGCCCACCCCCAGCCCACAGGGTTCGGTTTGGGGTGCAGAAAGAGGGGCTGTTCCCCGGGGGGCTCGGGGTGCCAGCGGGGTCTGGCCTGTTTGGGGCAGGGGGTGCTCACCCAGCTGGGATTCCCCCCCATATCCCTGCTCTGCCTCGCCCCAGGGGGGGTTTTTAGGGCTCTGGGGTGCTGGGGATGGAAGGTGTGGCACCCACCTGCTGCCAAGGGTTTGTGTGGGGACAGTCCCCTCCTGGCTCTTTGGGTGCTGTGGTGCCCCAGTGTCCCATGGGGTGAGGCTGTGGGGGCACCAGGGGGGTCCCAGTACCCATGGGGTGAGGCTGTGGGGGCCCCAGGGGGGTCCCAGTGTCCCATGGGGTGAGGCTGTGGGGGACCCAGGGGGGTCCCAGAACCCATGGGGTGACTCTGTGGGGGTCCCAGGAGGGTCCCAGCACCCATGGGGTGACTCTGTGGGGGTCCTGGAGGGTAGCAGCACCTATGGGGCAATACTGCAGTGGTCCCAGGAGGGTACCAGCACCCATGAGGTGAGTCTGTGGGAGTCCTGGATGGTACCAGCACCCACAAGGTGACTCTGTGGGGGTCCCAAGGGGGTCCCAGCACTCCCGAGGCGACTCTGTGGGGGTCCTGGATAGGACCAGCACCCACAAGACAATGCTCTGGTGGTCCCAGCCCAGCCCAGCAGCTGGGGGGGGGGGAGTCCAGAGGAAGCAGCAGCCTCAGCACTGTGGGGCCGGGGGGGTGACGGGCACCCACCACAGCCGGACCCCCCCGGTCAGCAGCGGCAGAGCCGGCGGAGGCCTCGAGCAACACCCGGGGTGGTTTCATCAGCCCCGCCCTGCCCACGAGGGCTCTGCTCCTCCCGGGGCACCCCCTCGGCCACCCAGCCCACCCTGGAACCCCCGGGGACACCCACGGCCGGGCCACCACTGCCACCAGCACCGTGCCATGGGCAGGGGTCCTGCAGGGTGGGAGGGACACATGGAGCCACGGCCACCCCAGAGTGCCACCATGGCCCCCCAGCGTGCCACCATGGCCACCCCAGAGTCACCACAGCCCCCCAGAGTGTCACCATGTCCCCCCCCGACAGGCACCACGGCCACCCCAGAGTGCCACCATGGCCCCCCCAGAGCGTCAACAG